ATCAAACTGATGATGTACACCTTCAAATTCTTTGCTATCGTTTTGGAATTGTTGATGACGATAATTCCGATGATATTGATGGTAACGATAACAGCTCCGAAGAAAGGCATAGTGGCGGTGTATCGTCCATGTAATAAAAGACTTCCTCCATCGCCCAAAGTAGAGTTTTCTTGCAGAGTGGTTGAATTCATGAAGAACTAGTGTCTCAGCATGCCTGGGAACAATGAACGTGATAAGGTTTTATGCCAGAGTCTTATTTAAATATAATAAGCTAATAATCAACACTGTGAATGTTGTTTTCACAGATTTTATTCATAATGTGGCCATCGTTTTCATGGTTTTGCCGTGAATAAATTATTTGTTATTGGAATTTTTTTTTTGGTTTTTGATATGGAAATATCATCTTCACAAGTAACTTTGCTAAACAAAATTCATCAGAACTACAGTAAAACTCGTTTAGTATGCACACTGATATTGCAGATTCACGAATATAGCGAAATTATCTTTGATCCCCAGCTATATACATTTAACGATTACGGATAAAACTAAGTAATTTCATAGATCGCAGTGACTTCGTTATAGCCGAGTTCTACTGTAAGGGGGCCATGAGTGAACACGTCCAACGGCAAGAACTAGAAAGTCATCTTTTGCAAGCAACTATAGCATATACCAACCCGGACTGAACCATAAGCCATTTTTTTGATAATATAACTGTACATTCTTTAAAAATTGTTTCTCTTTTCTTAGGCTACTGTATGTAACAGTTTCTACATTTTTATTTTTAAAAATTCCAAATACATCGTTGAGATTTTTTTTACTTTGGTTCAGGTGAATTTTGTGCAAGGAACTGTCTCGGCTCGAAAGTGAATCTTAAGTTACTTAGACTTCTTTCTGTAAGATTGCGGTGACTAGTCACAACGTGTTACTGTATTATATTTTTGAGCAAGTTTCATATGCATGCATAATTTGTGTGATTAAAAATGAATTTATAAAAAAAAAAAGTGGATAAATAAATATTTATTTTTATTAAATAAAAGAATAAATTATAGTAAAGAAATTTATTTATTATCAATTAACTGTAGTTTACATAAAATCATTTTAAAAAGCTAAGGTGATACAGGCTAACTTTTGGCTCATGGGTCCCTTGCTTCCATTTACTTTCAATACGACATCTAGCGCCATGCCTTGATCATAGGTCATCCTGCGAAAACGCATCCACGCAGTCGCCGCGACACGCATCATAATGACTCAACATCCACAAAAAGCAATTTACATACAATGCAACGCCTTCTTTTTACGCGACGTGTCGACATCTTATAATTAAAATTTTTATAAGTGCGCTTTAGCGCATGCAATGAAATTAAAATTTTATGAATAAAACTGAAGTAAGGTATAATGATGTATTCTCCCTGGCTTCCGGTAATCCCAGCCTATTCAAAGAAAGAGATCTCGCGAGATCTTCCTTCTGACTTTTGGCTGAGTTGATAAAAGATAATTTTTTTTTTTAATAGGAAATACAATGTAACATTCATAAAACTTTAATTTCATTGCAGTAAATTGATAAATGCACAAATAAAATAAGATTTTTTTTTTATTTTGTTATCAAGGTAGTGAAGGTACAAAGTACTAAGTTGTTCACGGACTCGGGACTCTAGCTACTTCTTGCCGCCAAAGGTTGGAGCTCTACAAAACATATAAAAATATATGTTGAATCTCAAATGTAATTCATAAACTGAAATAAACATCAAATGTATAATAATACATACATGTACACATGTACCCTTAAAACAAGACTAAAACATTCAGGTAAGTGTATAAGCCCCTAGGGTGTGGAGGGTGGGGGGCTTATACTTTACTTCAGTTTTATTCATAAAATTTTAATTTCATTGCATGCGCTAAAGCGCACTTATAAAATGTTTAATTTTATTTCATAAAACTGAAGTAAGGTATAATGATGTATGTTTAAAGCCAAATGTTTTAGCTTTGGTTTGATATTATTTACTTCAATCTTAACACAGAATCTGAGAATCCTGAATCATTTTGGACAGGTTTATTGTAGAAAGTGTAGAAAGTACTTGCTGATTTCCAGTTTGCTTTCTCCATGATTTGTTTGACAGATAACCCAAACTTGTTTGCTTTAGACGTACTAGCTCCTCTAGTAGAATGAGCTTTAAAAATATCTGTATTAATCTCTGAATCTTCTAACACTGTTTTGAGCCATCTAGCAATTGTGCAAGACTTAACAGACTTGTGTGGTTTCAAAAAACTAAGAAAAAATTTACTTTCTCCTTTTCTAATAGGTTCTGTGCTCTCTACATATTGCAAAATATGTTTTCTGACATCAAGTAGTTCACTTTCAAACTGACTGAATACCAACTTCATAGGCTCTTGACCTACCCTTCTTGTTTTAGTCAGCTGCACAACTTTAAACTCTATTTCCTTTGGGTAAATTTGCATATGATTCAAATCTAAATGGTACAATTCTGATGACCTGCAAGCTGTTGACAAAGCCATGAGACTGACAACTTTCAATGTTAACAATTTTAAGCCTAAATTTTCACAAGGCCCTAATGAAATTAGATATTTTAATACAAAATCAACATCCCATGTTTGAGTGTATCTGGGCATAGGCGGTCTGCAATTAAACACCCCCGACATAACCTGCTTGATGAGGTTGCTTTGGCCTACTTTAATACCATTGATTTCTGGGTGGAAAGCTGAAATTGCTGATCTATAACTGTTTACAGACTTTTACTCATAACCTTTTTGGAACAATTCTGACAAGAAATTAGCTATATGTTCCAAAGAGGAGAGAAAGGGATTAATTTGTCTGCTGTTACACCAGCTAGCCCAGTGTTTCCAGCAGCTGTTGTAAGCTGATTGAGTTCCCTTTCTCCAAGATGCTGCGAGTAATTCGGAAGTGTTTGTTGAAAAACCTTGCACCTCTTTATATCGCCTGAAATTTTCCAGGCCACTAATTTCAGTGTCCCTTTGACTATCAGAGGGTGTGGTTCCCCCCCGGTGACAGAAGAAGGTCTCTCTGTGGTGGTAGAAGAATTGGGTTTACAATTGACATGTTCAATAACATTGGGTAATAAGGTTGTGTCTGCCATGATGGTGTCACAATGACCAACTCTCCCTGTGAAATATTTGTGTTTTGAGACCCCCCCTCTATATGTCACATGTGTATAATTATTTGTAAACATTATTTGTACATGATTTCTCTTATAGCAATTATAAATGAACTGTAAACATTACCAAGTGTACTATAAAACGATGTTTGGTACTTCCTATTATTTCATGTTTGGTAAATCCTACACTTTCATGTTTGGTAAATGACCAAGTTTACCACGGAGGAAATATGGACTGATACGTAAAATTATGGACTCTTATGATTGAAACAGTATTTATTATGAATGTTTATTTCATTTTACTTACAGTACATTGTTTAAATTGATCGTAAATACCGTTTTTCATGTGTGTCTGTCGATCACGTTGTTTTCCTTTTTGGTCATGGCGATTCGGAAGATTCTAATTTACAAGGGGGGTTTAGGTTATTGTTCTCCGTCCTCGAACGTCATTATTTTATTATTGTTAACTTATACGCAACTTGTATTGTACATTTTTATGCAACTTACCTTCATTGTTTATTACTATGTATTTGTTTTACGATTCGGCGTCACATTGTTCGTATTTTTCATGGTTTGTCCCACTTCGGCGATGTTGTTAGTATCGTCTGCCATTTTGGTCTATACTTTCCCTTTTGGTTAGGTAAAGCGCACTGCGCATGTCCGGTAGTTTACCCTATATAAGCGTCGCCACGGACGCTGAAGTTTCAGTTTGACTCTGCAGAACGTCTGCGCAACAACTTTCATAGAAATTGTACGTAAATACTGATATAACTAACGAATGGGGAGTTTTTACTATAGATTATATTGACCAAATAGGTTTATTAAGGGATTCAACAGTCTCTACGAAGTTATACCATAGTTTACAGTGACCAAATTGATTTATTAAAGAAAATCAACAGTTACCATTTTACCAAATCTTAATAACGTTACCAAATCATAATAGCGTGACCAAATCATAATTATGTGACGTCTGGTCTGACCAATTGTATTATCACCACTGTTTATTTGGTTTTTCCAGTCATCAGTATTACAGTAACTGTTATTCCTTTATTAAATTATTGCTGAAACTTGAATTATCTTATGTTGTGCTCTTGTTTGCCTCAGCAATGCAATATTTTACTGACCAACACAGGGATTTATCTTACCAAATCAACCAGGATTACCAAATAACAAATTACCAGGAAGTACCACATATATTGGTTACAATGAAATATATCTCCTTCATTGGAGATTTGATCAATTATAAAGCCTCATACCTCGGGCACGTTACAGAAATTTGGTGGCAGCGGTGGGATGAAAATCCTTGATCATTTCATTACCAGAGAATCTTTTGATCATCTCAATTTCACAGAATATTTTGATTTTGTCATATTTTTGTGACTTAGCAACGAAGATAGTGACCAAATGATGTTACTTAATAAATTCTGTGTTGGTTAGTCAGGGGCAGGTGAGGGCACAGCAGTATTAGTGGACGTTCTGCAGACTCAACTCCCAGATGGCCAAAGTAATGAAACAAGTCTGGTTAAAAAAAAAATTTGATGCCACTCCTAATGGAGAAGTACCATTTATTGATTTAATGTAAAATATAACACATTTGAGAGAAATGAGCAATCTGAATCTACACAGTGTTCCAGAACATTGATGTCTGGAGTCAGTACAAATTATAGTAATTCTTTGTAGGAATGCCTGAAGAGCATTCATTTTGAGGTCAGATCAGCGAGATGAGTACTACGTGGTGGAAAGGGTGAACATTTTGGAAACCATAATTGGTACTAAAGGGCCACGGAGATGCGATTCCGTATGGAATTCACTTGTATCGTTTTCTGACGACCAGGGCCCACCATCAGTTAACAATAGGATACTCTCGGGTGGTCTGGGTACTACTAATAGATGTGCCCGTTCATACGAACTTGGGACTACTGATAATTTAGTTGAGGCTGGTTCCTTTGGTCCTGACATTTAATTATGTCAGATGAAATCATGTTTTTCTCATAGGCCTAAGTTCAATACTGTCATAAATGGTCAGGTATGTTCGGAGAAGAATAATTATTCTAGGATCCCATCAGGTGAGACGGCAGGTAAGTCCGCTCAACAGTCCTGCATGGATAAGCCGCCTATGGAAGGCGTATGTTCACATTCGGCCATGGACGCATGGTCATGGTCCACCCAACCTGCAGCCCAGGGAATGGCTCAGTCTCCATCTCACAGCCCTCAGGGTCGAGCGCGTACTGCTGAGTGTGTTGGTGAGATGATTGCTAAGGATCTGATGAAATCTGCAACATTTGAAGGGAAGAGCAGTTGGAGAGATTATTTATACCTTCAATTTCAATTTAGAATTGTATCATATTTATTTATAACTTAATGATGGGAACAACAAAGTTAAAGCTATTCAGCTTGCAACAAGTTTATGGGGGCACAAATAGTGCTCATGGTGATTGTTACTGAATATATATATACAAAAGATTTATAACTATATAGTTCAAACTCTATCATAGAGGTTCAAATACAAAACTTTGTACAGAGCACAAATAAAGAATTGATTGAGAAAAAGAGATGTCAATCTCTCACTGACCTTTATAATGAATTAAAAAGTTGGTTAGATATGCATATCCAGATGCATCATCTGAAGGCCGAGAACAGTTGGCTCGGAACTGTTTTATAGATTCACTGAATAAATATGAAATTGAATGGACTGTCCACCAAGGTAAATCAAAATTTGTTGAAGATGCTGTCCAACTCGCTCTTGAATTTGAAGCCTTCCAAAATAGTAGGAAGCACACAATATTTCAGAAACATGGAAGGGTAGGAATGCAGGTGGCGCATGATGCTACCCCACTCTCAAGGGATGACGAGCTGCGTCATTTTTCTCTCAAGAAGCTGAAAATATACAAAATGACAAATAAAAAAAATCAAGTTCAATATCAAATTTGAGACAATGGTGAAAAAAACTGATGTGGCATCAAATATCATTTTATCAATGATTGAAGAAAAGAACAAAGTTGGATAGGAAGACTTGTTTAAAAAAAAAAAAAAAAAAAGATCATTACAGAGGTCATCTGGTATTTAAAAAAAAAAATAAGAAAAGAAAACAAAAATGGAAAAAGGGAAAAATTAAAAAAAAAAAAAAGTTATTTGGTCATCTTGACTGCAGATATGCGATTTCAGTATAAAAATTGCCTTGTTACTTTCCTTATTTAAGGATACCCATCTCTGGATGAGAATTTCAGTTTAAATATACATGTAGATGCCAGTGCATTTGACATATTGAAGAATTCATGTTACAAATGTGTGTCAACTTAGAGATAAAGTTGTTGCTTACTTAAGCAAGTCACTATATGTAGTGAAATAAACTACATGTACTGTGTTATCAAAAGAGAATTCCTTGGAATAAATGAGTCAGTCAAAAATTTTGACCATTTACCTACATGGCAAAAAGTTTCTCATTCGCACTGACTGGTGCACTGAGATTGGTCCTTAAATACAAAAACCTAGATTGGGAAGGTCAAGAGGCTACAAATTTTATCAACACATGATTTCTATATTCATCATAGAGTAGATTCCCAGCATGGAAATGCTGATGGGTTGTAAAGTCATGCATATGCTGAGTGCACACATTGTGTTAAAAAGAAAATAAACTTATGATGGTCATGAAGAAAAACTTCAAAGCATCGCAGTCAGGATGATCAGATTTACACCTACAACTGGTCAGAATTTTCAAGAATCTGACATTTTTGTTTTGTAGATAATCAAGATTTACTTTAATTGTTATAATATTTGATTTGGAAGTTCAGCAAAAGAAGAAAAGATTGAGTGTAAGAATTATATACTTGGAAGAGGAATAATATTCCAAGACCAGGGTGGGAGGATATTTCTCAAGAAAGTTTACAAATCAAGTCTTACTGGTCCCAGTGGGACATACTTGTTATTCAAGACAATATTTTGTACAGAAAATGGTTTAATGCTAAAACCAATATGTCACATAACAATTGATTTTACCTGAAAAATATATACCTCAGGTCCTAACGATGTTGCATAGTGACCCTACAGATGGACACTTAGGAGTGAACAGAACTTTAGCCTAAGTCAGACAGAGGTTTTACTGGGTTGGAAATAAAACAGTTTTGTCTGGAATGTCAACGATGTCAATCAAGCAATCCACCAACCTGCACTCCTAAGGCTCCATTGAACCAATATATTGTTGGTGCTCCACTGGAAAGGGTTGCTCTGGATATTGTACGTCCCTTGAACAGAACTCCTAAAGGAAAGTCAGATATATCAGTCATTGTCAACTATTTTACTAGATGGACTGAGGCGTTTGTACTTCCAAATATTAAAGCAAAAACAATTGCAAGAGTATTTCTCAATGAGTTTGTTTGTAAATTTGGTATTCATCGTCAAGTACATACTGACCAAGGCACACAATTTTAACTAATGTTTCAAGAGAAGTATGAAATTCTCAGAATAGATAAAACAAATTAGCAGCATCCATTCACCTCAGAGTGACGGATTTGAACATTTCAACAGGACTCTCACAGCTATACTTACAATATATATGTCAATTTCTTGGAAAGACTAGGATATAAATACTTACCTTTTGTATAACTACTGGCATACAGATCTTCAGTTTGTGAGAGCATAAAGTTACCAGTGCAGTTTGTTGATTTGGGCAGGGAACCAGCACTGCCTGTGGATCTTTTATTTGGTTGACCGCCTACAATAGATTTAAAATTTCATTATTCAACATTTACAGTATTAATTGAAAATGCTTAATTGAAGCTTAAGTCACAGACAGAAATGTCATTATGATCATAATGCAAAACAAGTTTCCTTCAAGACAGAGCCATTGGCTTAATTTGTAATAAAAAGCAAAAGATTGGCATCTATCTAAAATTTACTAAAACATTGGAGTGACATTATACCATCAGTTTAATAAATAAAATAAATTTAGTGACCTAGAGTACAGGATACAGTGCAACATGACAGTGGCAATTAAGCAGTACACCTTTATCTTCTCAAAGAGTTTTATGGAAAACTGTAACATTTTCTACAAACCTTCAGAATTATGAATTAACAATGGTCAACTGACTGATTGGACATCACATATGATTGTATTACTTTTACCAGACCTGTTTACCTTTTTATGAGTGCCTTTAAGAATAAACAGCACTGGTCTATGGTTGTTTGAAAAAGTTTGATACAAGTCCACATGCAGTTTGATCAGCACAGGCAGGATAAATGCAAACCAAGACTCCTGCCTGCATGCCATAATGTTCTAGCTGTCAAGTGACACTCTACCCTACATCTTGAGTAACCACCTACAATTAGAGATCACATAATTATGAGCAATATTAAAACGGATCATCCACTCCTTGTTACAGGCATTCCAGATATATTAACCTGATTAATAAACTAATTTGATTTGATCGCCAGAGATGTCAATCAGACGTGGTAACCGCCAATTTATACTCTAACTTGTGGAAGTTAAGGGAAACAGGAATTCTGTGTGATGCGAAACAAACTTTCTTCTTTCACGATGATGATGCTGACTTATGGACTGTGAGACTATATACTAGGTATAAAGACTTTTATATTATTAAGGGTATTTGTTAGAATTATAAGCAACTTTGAGTATGCTTTGGGAGGGGGGTGGATTTTTGAAAATATTTATTTTATTGAAAGGAATGATGACCATTTTTGTAATGGATCATGTTTTACTTTTGATATTTTATGATATGTGTAAATATAAATGTGTGATAATTCATACAATATTACCATTGATTGAATCTTCATCTGAGTGGGCCATTACTGCAAACATTACTGGATTCTGTGTCTTCTGAGTAAAAAGAAAAATTGTTTTATTTCATGTTATAAATCTATATGTCGATAATTGATATTTCGTTATAATTATTTATTACTAAATTGTCTACAATCATTACTTGTTTATACATATTTTTTTTGTTCGAGGACGAACAATTTTTCAAAGGAGGGGATAATGTGAAATATTTGTGTTTTGAGACCCCCCCCTCTATATGTCACATGTGTATAATTATTTGTAAACATTATTTGTACATGATTTCTCTTATAGCAATTATAAATGAACTGTAAACATTACCAAGTGTACTATAAAACGATGTTTGGTACTTCCTATTATTTCATGTTTGGTAAATGTTTGGTAAATGACCAAGTTTACCACGGAGGAAATATGGACTGATACGTAAAATTATGGACTCTTATGATTGAAACAGTATTTATTATGAATGTTTATTTCATTTTACTTACAGTACATTGTTTAAATTGATCGTAAATACCGTTTTTCATGTGTGTCTGTCGATCACGTTGTTTTCCTTTTTGGTCATGGCGATTCGGAAGATTCTAATTTACAAGGGGGGTTTAGGTTATTGTTCTCCGTCCTCGAACGTCATTATTTTATTATTGTTAACTTATACGCAACTTGTATTGTACATTTTTATGCAACTTACCTTCATTGTTTATTACTATGTATTTGTTTTACGATTCGGCGTCACATTGTTCGTATTTTTCATGGTTTGTCCCACTTCGGCGATGTTGTTAGTATCGTCTGCCATTTTGGTCTATACTTTCCCTTTTGGTTAGGTAAAGCGCACTGCGCATGTCCGGTAGTTTACCCTATATAAGCGTCGCCACGGACGCTGAAGTTTCAGTTTGACTCTGCAGAACGTCTGCGCAACAACTTTCATAGAAATTGTACGTAAATACTGATATAACTAACGAATGGGGAGTTTTTACTATAGATTATATTGACCAAATAGGTTTATTAAGGGATTCAACAGTCTCTACGAAGTTATACCATAGTTTACAGTGACCAAATTGATTTATTAAAGAAAATCAACAGTTACCATTTTACCAAATCTTAATAACGTTACCAAATCATAATAGCGTGACCAAATCATAATTATGTGACGTCTGGTCTGACCAATTGTATTATCACCACTGTTTATTTGGTTTTTCCAGTCATCAGTGTTACAGTAACTGTTATTCCTTTATTAAATTATTGCTGAAACTTGAATTATCTTATGTTGTGCTCTTGTTTGCCTCAGCAATGCAATATTTTACTGACCAACACAGGGATTTATCTTACCAAATCAACCAGGATTACCAAATAACAAATTACCAGGAAGTACCACATATATTGGTTACAATGAAATATATCTCCTTCATTGGAGATTTGATCAATTATAAAGCCTCATACCTCGGGCACGTTACACTCCCTTCTCTTTCTGGACTTTGGCTATGCATCTCTGTATCAGACAAAATGGTGGAAATGCATAAGCTTTCATCTCTCCCCATTTCGCTAGGAATGCATTTGTTCCCATAGCAAATGGGTCGGGTTTCCAGCTCATGTATTTCTCCAACTGTGCATTTAGCCTGTCCGCAAATAAATCCATTTCTAGAGGACCCCATTGTAAATTTATCTGTGTAAATATCTTTGGGTTCAGTCTCCAGCTGTTTGTGCTCATTGGCGACACATTCCTGCTTTCCCAATCTGCTTTCTGATTGAGAACTCCAGGAAGGTGTTCCGCTGTTAGAGTTATTTTCTTTTCTAGGCAATACTCCCATAGATCTTTTGCTATGTTTGTTAAAATGGGCGATTTTGTCCCCCCCCCCCCCATCTTGTTCACATAAGTAACCGCAGTTACATTGTCCATCCTCAGATGAATGTGTACATTTACCTTTTTCTTTGTCATTGATCTTACAGCAATATTTGCAGCTTTTAGTTCTAAGGCATTTATGTGGAGTTTTTTCTCTATCGGGCTCCATGGACCCCCCATTTTTTCCTGTGAAAATGGGCAATTGAACCCCCATCCCATTGTGGATGCATCTGTCTCTATCACAAGATCTGGTTCTTTGGTTAGTATTTGTTTCCCATTCCAAACCTCTAACTGTTGGATCCACCAAGAAATTTCTGTTTTGCATTCCTGATATAGTGTGATTTTGTTCTTGTAACTGTTTTCCTTGACAAGACATTTCGTTTTGTACATTTGTAATTCTCTGACATAAAGTGAGGCTGGAATTACTGCCTCTACTGTTGCATTCAATTATCCAACTAAACTTGCCAATTCTTGGATTGTAATGTGGTTGGATCCTAATGCGTTTTGGCATTTCATTTTTATGTTCTGAATTTTGTCCTGAGGTAAATAAACACTCATTTCTACTGAATCCACTTTTAGACCCAAAAACTCTATCATTTGTTTGGGTTCTAGCACTGATTTCTTCCAGTTTATCAACCACCCCAGGTTGTGTAAACCAAATAAGGGAATCTCTGTCCTTCATCAACCCTTCTTTGGTTTGATTCAGCAGTAGAATGTCGTCCAGGTAGATTACCAGTCGAATCCCCATTCTGCGCAGAAATGCTATGATAGGTTTCATAACTTTTGTGAACAGACGGGGACCGGCTGCCAATCCGAAAGGAAGACTCGTGTACTGAAGGAGTTGTCCCCCCCAACTGAATCTCAGGTATTTTCTGTGAGCTTGGTGTATTGGAATGCAAAAGTATGCATCCTTCAGATCTATTTTGCACATGAAGTCATTTTTATCATCATGTTTTTCACTACCTGGAAACCTTCCATTTTGAAATGTTCGTAAGTCACAAATTCGTTTAGTCGTTTTAGATTGAAAATGGGGCGTGACCCCCCATCTTTTTTGGGGCGTACAAACAAAGTGCTTATGAACTGATCTTGAACTATGTTCTTGGGGTCTACAATCTCCACCGCTCTTTTTTGTAACATCTCTTGAATTTCTGTATCTAGAATTTGAAATTCTTTTTCTGAATAATTTATTTTTGGGACAGATGTTTGACTGGGTGTTTTTAAGAAATCTATTTTGTACCCTTCTAATTCTGTCAAGACTGAAGTGTCTTTTGTAATCTTTTCCCAATTTGAAACAAAATGCTTTAGTCTGCCCCCCAGTGGGATTTGATTTTGTACAATCTCTCTTAATTTTAATTTTTCTACACCTGGGTGGAGATTGTGATGATCCCTCAGAACTTTTGACATTTGTTCTACTACTATCGGTATGTTTACATGTGACGTCATTGACAAACTTAACATACCTCTGTTTCTTTGTAATGGCGCCTCTGCCGGTGCCTCTTGAGTAGCTCGACCCTCTGGACTTTCTCTTGAGTATAGTTTTTTCCAACAAGTTCACCACTTCCTCGATTTCCATACTAGACGTAGTGCCCTCATGAGCTTTGTCCATTTCGTCCCAAATTCTAGATAAGGGCCCCATGCACTGAGAAACTCGTTTCTGTACAAATTTCAGTGAAGAATCGTGCATTTTCAAGAACTTCATAGACTTGTGATCCGCCACTAAGTCCTCGAGATAATCGTCGACATCCGGCGGATTCAAAAATTGGTTGCCTGGTATAGGCGCGTCCTCTAAAATGCGGGAGCGAATTTTCTCCTCAGATAAATGAAGTTTGAAATACTTCTTGGCATACTTTGCTTTACTTTTATCAAGCATGTATTCCGTCTCATCACTGAGCGGATCAAAATGCTTAGCGTCTAGTTCATCACCAGAATCGGCCTGCGGCTCGTCACGGCTATGCGACTGTGTCAATGGCGACTTGTAAGTGAAATCGTCAATTTCGCCCTCCTCTTCTGATGAACTATCATCTTCATAAGGATCGGACGAATCACTGTCGTCTTCATAACGATCTTTGTCTATCGCTCCCTTTTTCAGTCTTTTCTTAGGGATGCTATAACTTCCCCACTTTTTGGGGTCGCCATCTTGGCCATACAAGAGTTTTTTATCTGCATGATTTGCAGAATTGCCATCTTGGCCCACATCTGCCCCATCTGGGCTACAAACAGGACTATCCATGTCCAAATCAAAAGGCTGCACCAAAGTAAGTAAAAATACTAAGGTTAAACGCAAAATCCACAAGGATTAAAGTAGATAGGTAATAGATAAAAAATTTTCGTCTGCTATATCAACGAAGCCAAACGGAAGAAGGAAGATCTCGCGAGATCTCTTTCTTTAAATAGGCTGGGATTACCGGAAGCCAGGGAGAATACATCATTATACCTTACTTCAGTTTTATGAAATAAAATTGCAAATCACGGCCGTTAGGTCTTTGAAAAAAAGTGCAGATATAATTTTATATTTATATAAATAATTTTATTCACAAAACGTGGCACGCAAGTTCTGTTATAACCCTCTCTCCACAACAAGGTCAAAATAAATACACAATACCGGTATAATACAAATAAAAGATACATCTCAAACTATAGCTATACTAAAACACAGACCTACCCCCTCTAAACACTATTGGCAATTTAGTGTAATATACATTTATTTTTGTTTCGCAGCTTGGTACTTGTTCGTGTATAGACGCTGTTCAATTTTGTTCTGATGGAGACAAAACCAAATAAAACAAAGGAAATAGCAATATCACTGTTTCACGTCATTATGATTGGCTTTATGCACATGAACAATAAGCTGTGAGAACAACAAAGACTGGGGAATGGTCCATTGGTTGTTTGCTAAAACAGGGTTACGACATAAAATTAGTAAAATCGCATAAACTATGTTCATTCTTTCTCGGAACGTTGACACATTCATTCTTCATGAATTCATCCACTTTGAATAAAAACTCTACTTTGGGCGATGAGGAAAGTCTTTTAATATATGGACGTTACTCAACCTTCATGCCTTTCTTCGGAGCTGTTATCGTTACTCTAAATATCATCGGAATTATAGTCATCAACAAGTCCAAAACGATTGCAAAGAATTTGAAGGTGTATATCATCAGTTTGATGACATGCGACTCTCTTACCGGACTCAATTTATTAGTCGGTCCACTAGTGTACTGGCTTTTCAGCACCCGTCAAGTGGTGGATCACATTGTTTCCATGATCCGCACCTTACTGATGGTTTCCATTATGCACACCACTGGACTTTCTATTGATCGGTTAATATCCGTAAAACAACCAAATTTTTACACCTTTCGCGTCACACCGAGAATATGTACTATAGTATGTATTTTCATCTGGTCAGTTTCCATTGTGTACCACGTAATGTATACAATGATTACTTTTTCGTCGACCATTGTAATGGGAGGACAATTCGACAAACGGTTCTACGTAGTCTTTGCATCTGTCTACTTCACATGCGTTTCCCTTTATTTAGGATCAAGCAGGACGATCATTGTTTGTGCCAGAGAACACCTCAAAAGAATTAACCTTTGTCCAAGACTAAACGAATCCGTTCAAGACCAGCTGGTTTCCAGTACTTTCCGGTTGTCAATCGTCATCACTACCGCTTCCGGTTTCCTCTTTGCCCTTTACCTTCCTGTGCAAATTTTTGCAGTTTTGACATTCATTGACCCCAACCGACAGATGAAGGTCACGCAGTTTTTCATGGACATTTCCTACCCTTTATTAACATTGGAAAGCTTCCTAAACCCTGTCTTGTATTTGATTAGATTTCAAGAGACTCGACAAATGATCAAGAACTTCTTTTGCCCTTCAATGATCAGATCCCTTCAATCCCAGAATACAACGGTCACAGCAAGGCAAATGTCATAATGAGTTAATCTGATGGGGACCAAACAGTTATCACAATCATGTATCTTATACCAGTATATTTTTCATTTAATTAAAAATATGATATCACTTTACACTCTTGATATTTTGTTATATATGTATACTGAGCTGAAATCTTTGAAAATATTTTGATATGCATAGAAGTTTTTCAGAGAATACCAAAGGTCCAAGTTTTTACTATAGTTTATCAAGATTTTAAAGTTTTACCTATACTTTATCAAAGTTTTAAAGTGTTTTTGTAATTAGTTTTAACACCTATGTATTTTTATTAACTTTATGCGATGTTTAGCCATTTTTAGAGGTGAATATGGGGTTGGTCGGGGCTTGTTTTTTTGTTGTACATCTTCAATGCAATATATACATTCAATATTTACATTCAAAAACAAAATATACATATTGACTGAAGTTGATAAAGCAGATGTTTTGATTCTATAAATGACGCAAGTTTTATTTCATAGTTTTTCCACATTGATAAGATCTACGCTATATCTGCTTAACATTGAATACATTTAAAAATATTTTGCTTATTCATTGGCGCAAGACACATTTACTACCCAAGTTATATTGTATAATCTGGGTTGTATGGAAAGCCAGATTAACATATATTCAATTGCTTGTACCTATCTTTAAAGAATTGTACCTACTTTTAAATAAGGTGATCCAAATGAAAGATAGGTATAAATGAATTAAAGATACAGGTAGGTGTAAATAATTTTACCTTTCTCTAAATAAATAAACCTAGGTTCAAATAAATTACACCTATCTTTAATAGAATCATACCTGCCCTCAATTCAATTGAAGATAGATTGAATTGAATTATATCTATCTTCAATTCTTTTGAAAATTGGTACAACTGAATTAAAGATAGGTACCATATTAAATTAAAGATCTGTTAGGTACAATTAGATTGAAGGTACAACTGAACATATCCACATTAGAATTAAAGATAGGTATAATTCAATTGTACCTAAGTTCAGCTGAAAATAATGAAAGCTCCCCTATACAGCGTCTTGAACACAGAAAGAACTGTACAAAGTATTTTGAGAGTTGTATTTATTGCGAGCGAGTATCGTGATAATTAAAGATAGGTTCAATTCAATTGCAGCTATCTTTAAATCAATTTTACCTATCTTTAATTCAGGGCACTTGAACCTATGTTCAAATCAATTCTACTTAGCTTCAAATGAATTTAAGAAAGGTATAATTGAATTAAAAATAGGCACAATTGAACTAAAGAAAAGTACAATTGAATTAAAGATAGGTACAATTGATTTGAAGATAGGTACAATTATATGAAGATATGTTAATTTTGGCGTAACAGTTTACCCTTTATACAGCGAGAAGCCGTTCATAAAAAGCGTAAAATGTCCAACCCAGGTTTTACAGTATAACTTTGGTAGCTAATAAAATCATTCCGTATAATTTAATTTTCAGTCATTAAGAATGTTCATATTTTAAATGTAACGTCAAACGGATTAACGTAAATCATTGTGGCGTAGGCAACCCTGCTCATACAATATAGATTATCTTTTTATCCAAATCATATGACGCGTCACAACCAAAATCAAATTAAACAATATTCGAAATTTTCAAATATCTGTCGTATGTACAAAAATTTAATTATAATCGATTCTCGTTTTTAAATTGTGGACAGTTAAGGTAGAATATTGCTTAAATCCGTATTCTAAATCCTCTCTCTCTCTCTCTCTCTCTCTCTCTCTCTCTCTCTCTCTCTGACTCTCTTAAAATCTAATTTGCATTTGGAAAACTTATAAAATGTATATTTGCTACAAAATAAAATCTTACAATGCTAGCAACAACAAGCACAGAAAAAAAAAACTTACTATAACAATACATAATGTAGAAGCGACTGATTTTGCATGTTTGCTCAGTCAAAACATTAAAATAAAAAAAGCAGGTCAAGTTATCTGAAACAGATTGTATATCATAGTTAGGTCATTATATTGACACACTGAGTTGACCACAGATTTTTCCCGTTATTTCCCGATCATGACGAGCACACGACAGGTGTGACCGGTCAGCAGGGGATACTCAATCCTTCATGGCACCTAACTCTTCTCTGGTGTTTTTGAGGTCCATGTTTATTATGTTCAATGGACATTTGAGTTCGAATAGTGCATCGTTTTCTCCACACATATGTGTTGTGTTTGGCAGTAATAACACTTTGCATGACTGTGATAAACCTTTCGAGCTCCATCACCTTGACATCTTAGGTCGTTCGCCAAGCTGTGATAACTGCATTCCGAGTTGATTGTGTATGGACTTTGGATGGACAAAATAAGTTCTTAATGGTTTGGCGAGTCTCCCGAAATCTAAGCAGATACAGGACAGGGTTTAAGAAGCTTTCTAACGTTAATAAAGGGTAGGAAATTTCCAGAAAAAACCTCGTAACAAACATCTCTCTGTTGGTATCAATGAATGTCAAAATTATAAAAATTTGCACAGGAAGGTAAAGAGCAAAGAGAAAACCGGATGCGGTTGTGATGACAAGCGACAACCGAAAAGTAATGGAAACCTGCTGGTCTTGAACGGATTCGTTTAGTCGCGGAAAAAGGTTAATTTGTTTAAGATGTTGTTTGGCACAAGCAATTATGGTTCGGCTTGACCCCAAATAAAGGAAAAGACAGATGAAGTAGATCGATAGGAAGACAAGGTAGGATCGCTTGTCGAATTGTCCACCCATGGCATAAAAGGACGAAAAAGTGGTCACCGTAATATGGTACAGGATAGAAAATGACCAGATAAAAATACATACTATAATGCACGTTTTTGTCTTGACATGAAAAGTGTAAAAATCGGACTGTTTTACAGATATATACCGATCAATGGAAAGTCCAGTTGTGTGCAGGATCGATATCAAAAGCAAGGTGCGGATCATGGAAACACTTTGATCCACCATCTGACGGGTGCTGAAGAGCCAGTACATCAGCGGACCAACCAATAAGTTGAGTCCGGTGATACAGTCGCATGTCATCAAACTGATGATATACACCTTCAAATTCTTTGCTATCGTTTTGGAATTGTTGATGACGATTATTCCGATGATATTGGTGGTTACGATAACAGATCCGAAGAAAGGCATAGTGGCGGTGTACCGTCCGTGTAATAAAAGACTTCCTCCATCTTCCAAAGTAGAGTTTTCTTGCAGAGGGGTTGAATTCATGAAGAATTGGTGTCTCAGCATTCCAGGTAACAAGCAGCCTGATATTGTCAGGAAAAAGTCGTCTGATTAAAATATGATTAGCGAATAACCAACCCTTGGACAATATCTCCTGCTTGTGACCGTATTCACAGATCTTTGTTCATAATGTTTCCAATAGTTTTATCTTGAAAATGTGTTATTGGCAGATTTCTTTGGGTATTGACATATAGACAAAACAAGCTTTTGTCTCTTTCAGAAAAGAGTATAATGCGTGTCGCTGAAAGGTCAATAATGCATGGCATACATAGCACTTACGAAATTGCAAAACAGTTAAGTTA